TCCTCCCACTGTTGACTATATTTTTATATAGCTTGTGACCTTCCTGTTCTTTATATTATTGTGACAGAATTTTTAGGGTCCATTCACATGGTGTGTTCAACACCTAGAGAACACAACCATGACTAACTGAATTTAGAAAAATATACTCCTGCTTTTTAATTAAAAACTTACTTCTACCAAGGTTATTTTGAGACAGCACTCAGGGCCTCTTTACATTTCCAGGAAGCAGATTGTAAAGGGCAGCTTCTAAGATCTGCCCCAGGCCTTCATACCCATAGCAGAAGTTCCACCATGGATCAGCGGCAAGTACACATGCCATTCTGGACTTGGCAGCCACATGGCTAAGGAGCAACACTTCCCCTTATCTACCTCATTTCACTCCCCAGCCCATTAGTATAAACGAGAGACCTCAATGTCTGGTAACTTGGACCTTCTCTGCCACTAGTAGAAAATCCAAAACTGAAATGGATCTGCTCTTTCCTCATTCATAAAAACTTCCTTGCCTACTCACCAGAAGGAAATCCTTGTTTACAACTGCTAGTCTGGCAGGTGTTTCATTTTCAAGACTGATTTATTAGGTCCAAGTGTGAGATTTCGCTGACCCTTTCCAAAGTGGTTGCTACCTATGATGCAGTTAAATCCAATGTTAGCCCCAGTTATAGTAGTAAGTAGTAAGTTGTAAGCTCCATTGTAAGTAGTAGGACTTACAATAGTGCTTTGTAACAAATATCATCCATTTCAATGGGTCTGCTCTGATGGGACCAAAATTGGATTTAGCCCACTGAGTTTTCTGACATATTTGCAACCAGTAAGGAAATGCTACCTATAATACCCAGTCCCACTCTCATCACAGGCATCACCACTAAATGTACAGGTATGAAATGGCCTTCTTAATAGGATGCATACTGCTGCTGTGCTCCAATTTTCTTTGACAGTCACCTTCACAACTGGTTTTGACATTGTGTAACATTTTTTTCTATAAAGGTGGCTTGCCTCAGACCCTCCCTCCCTGTTTGCCAGCGCTTTGCAAGCACCTTGAGATTTTCATTGGTTTTCTGAGCACCTGCACAATGATGTATGGCACAGAAGATGAGTGTTTTCCATGCCCTTTCCTCTTTGTCTTTCCCCATAAATTCAGTGTTTCATTTTCTCACTTCTGTAGCTCTTTGAAAGGAACACATTGTTCGGTTTATATAGGTTGCCCTATGCCAAATCTGGCCCTCCATGCAGTCAACTGAATTAGTCTGACTCCATGCAGGGGCTATTAAACCATTACCTGCTACTTGCCACACATGTTAAGAGTTGTGCTTTTTCACACTAACTTTATCTTGTTTACATGAACTTAAGACCACTTTTTAACTGTTTTTCACCTTCCTCATCATCATTAACATACACTGCACCTTGCCTCCAACAAGCTCAAGGCAATGTGCATGACTCACCTCCTTCTCCCGTCACCACATCTCTGTAAGGTAGAACAGATTGAGAGTACGTGATTGGCCCAAGATCAGCTGGTGTCCTTCATAACTTCACAGAGATTCGTTCCCAAGTCTCCTGAATCCTTCTTGTAGATTTCGTTGATTTGAAATTGAATGCCTGGAATCCTGTTGAAAAATTACACCAGCATAAATCCATTATCATGAATTGTCATAAATTTGGAAGTCAGCATAAGCATTCGCTACAGGGCACTGGATCACACTGTGAGACACTCATCTTTTTGTGCCATACATCATTGTGCAAGTGCTAGGAATACCAATGACAAACACAAGATGCTCTGCAAAGTGCTGGCAAACAGAGAGGAAGGGTCTGAGGCAAGCCACCTCTGATGACATCGTTGCCTGTGGCAATTCTCAACTGAAATTTACACAGAGTTTATGCCATCAGTTAACATAACAAATAGGATTCCGGCTATTGTATAATCTTGTGATCTCTTTGTTTATTCTTTATTATGCTTAGAGATGGTTTCACTGTCTTGACTTTTAAGGCCAGGAGGAGACCACAATGTGGTCTGTTTTTACCTGGGAAAAGTTTTGAAGCAAACTAATTGCCTGCCTGCCCACTGCACATCCAACACGGCTTGAGGGAAAAAACTGAATAGCTTCCAACATCTCCCAAACTTGGTTATTTAAACAGGCCTTCCCTCCAGCCAATTAAGTGATTTTTCTTTTTGCCCCTCTTCTTGATTCCTGCCATCTTGGAAATGTGCTGTTTAGTATTAATTGTAAGAATTGTATTTTATATATGTTATTTTGATGTGTTTTAACCTATGTAAGCCGCCCCGAGTAGACGCTGTCTAGAGGGGCGGGGTAAAAATCAATCAATCAAACAAACAAACAAACAAACAAACCAGCATGGCCATGGCAGTCTGAAAAAATAACTTTTCTAGGCTTTGGTTCAGAAGGTGGACAGGCAGCTCATTTCACATCCTTGTATGAGTTGTTCAAACTGAGGAGCTAGACCAGAAACAAAACCAATAAGGTTAGATGGGATCGTATTGTTGACTTTGGTTTCCTAAACTTTGTTAGACTGCTAGCAGTAATACGGTTTGGGATATTGAGCTGCCTTTCAAGATCCGTATTTCTAAAACTACAAACATGCAGTTAGCAAACACTCTGGGTACTCCTGGAATAACATATGAGATCTTTTCTGAGCTTCCTAATCCACAAAACAGGAAAAGGTTTTGATGTCATCTTTTTATAATGAATACCTTTCTGGCTCAGTCTCAAAGCCCAAACAGTGAGAAAAGGTTTATATTTGTGTATCTGCAGCATATCTCACTAGGCAACTGAGTTGCCCACCCCCTGCTGTATACCCTGCACTGTTCAAACCTAATTAGTATGAAATGAGTTTGTCTGCGGTTTAGCTGCCTCTGTCAAGCAACAAAAGGTTAGATGGGATCTTATTGATTTCCCCAATTGACCCTTTCTATTTTTCTATTCTATCTCTAAGAGTTTAAGTAGGTTAGCAAACTGGTTTAGCCTCTTTTTTTCAAGTACTTACAACACTCTCCCCTGCATTCTCTGACATTATTCTCAGAAACACTCCTTAATTTGAACTAGACGTTTGCCTAGCCACTGAGTCTTACTACCAAGTTTATCTGACTTGTGTCTATAGAGGCATGGGGGAAAGTGGCCACATGCCCACAATTAAGAAAGGTTTATAAGCAGTGGCTAAATCACTCCCAGGCAAATAACTAGTTTATTGCTATAGGAGTCTCCTGACCTCAAGATAGAGAAAAGGGGTTAGGACGATACAGAATTCAGACTAATTCTATCATGTAGCTTCCCAGCCTAGCAGGAAAAATTTCATCAACCAGCAAAGTGCTCCTAATTCAGGAGCCCCTGCTTTGATTTTGAAATCAAAGCAGGCCATGTGCAACTTTGTCTCATTTTGCATGAGTCATATGCAACCCAAAATCAAAGCAGGGATTCTTTAATTAGCAGCAGTCTACCACTGCTGCTGACATCATTCCCACTATGCTGGTACACCTACACAATAGGATATGGCCAGATAATACACATTTGCTTTAGCTGCAAAGGTAGAGATAATACACAAAACAACATTCTTCCACTATTTTCTCTGACCATCATCAGTACTAACCTTGCAATGTGACAGAAATTAAGCAGAGTTTTAAAATGAAACATTTTTGGACTACAGCTCCCAAACTCCTTCAGCCAGCCTGGCCACTATGATGGCTGGAGGATTTCTCGGAGCTTTAGTGCAGAACGATTACTCCTTCAAGCTCCATTGTGGGCTGCTTTTGAACCATTAGTCCTGTGCAACCAGCAAGATGCCAGAGTCTCCCACTCAAACCTCCTAGTGCTTTTCATGCGTGGAAGGAAAGAAAGGGCCTGTCCACACTGACATATAGATATGGTGCATGGCTCGGAGATGACATGGTTTGGATTAAAACAAAGAAGAAAAAGAAGAAAAACCTCCTTCACAATTGCTTTTACTTTGATCAAGCCACCCTTCCTCTTTAAGAGTTGTTGCACACCTTTCTAACCTAGTGGTATGGCATGCATTCTTTTTGGCACACTCCTTAGATGGCAACCCTAAGCAGCTGCAGATTCTAAGGGAGTGTTTGAGAGAGAAAGAGGGGAGAATGAGAGAAGGGAAGCAGGGAGGGCAGAAGAGAGAAAAATGGAATAGCACCGAAAATGAGAGAGAGGAACAATTTTTAAAAAAGATCACTTCCCCTGACCTTCCTCAGACAGTCAGGGGAAGCACTTAAGTAAGATCTGATTGGGCTCCAAGGGATTGTTTGCTGGTTAGATGCGAGGAGCACATCAAAGGGCATATAACTCCTCCTCCCAACCTCTGCAGCTCCTTTGTAGCTTGATCCACCCCATACCCAAAATGGCCAGTCTGGACAGGCCCAAAGTCATCCTAAGAACTCTAAATTCTCAGTGCCAAAAAGCCAACTGAAAGGTATTTTACCTGTACATCACAGTCTCACACCCCTGTACACTTTGGTCAGGGAGTCTCACTAAATCAACATTGAGTTAATCTGGTTAGGCAACTGCTTTTTCATAAACTCAGTTTTCAAGTCGAGCTTCTCCAAATTGCCCCTGGAAGTGTCAAGTGCTAAGGACCATTCAAACAGACATCCTGTGGTGTGTACTGTTCTTAAAGGCAAAGCTTGATTCAGATCGTCTTCAGTTGGAATAGCTCCTTAGAGTTAAGCCATCTATTAGGTTGAAGCTGAGGTCAACCTGAGCCAGTCATAATTGAATGTGTCTGCAGATGGGCCCTTCAAGCTTTAGAAAGCTTGTGAAGTTTGACAGTCCCCTAGATGACAATGTAAGGAAATTGGATCAAAACTGTCATGTAGCTGCACACTTTTTATTGTATGGTAATTAGTGCTAGGTTCTCTTTTCTCATAATGACATCGAAATGGGACGCACAAGTAGGGCTGAAGATTAAGTAATTAGACAGCATTAGAGGCATTTGAAGCACAGGGTCACCAGGGGAAAAGAATAAAGGAAAGAGAGGAGCTGTGGGCTGCCTGTCTGTCTACTGGAGAGTTATAAAATATTCTCCTTACTCACAGCTTGGTAGCTGTAAAGGAAAGAGCCTCACAAACCGTGTGTTCCTTATTATCTCCAGTCTGGAAAGAGGCAGCATCCATGGGTAAGTAAAACGCATGCTAAATATAGACAGAGAATTTGTATTTCATATGTAAGAGATCTCTTTTTTTCCCTTCATGCTGTAGAACCTTTGAAATATATATTGGAATGTGATGTGCATGTGAGCACGCCCACACTCTTGTATTATAAAGACAACCGATTTCTTACCCTGACATTGTTTTATTTTATACAAGGGCTTTCACAGATTAAAATACAACTTGGTCAATCAATCATCTTTTAATTGATTTCACTTTAAAAAAAATGGCTATTACCAAATCTGCTGTACAAGCAATCTTTATGAAGAAACAGAATTAAGTGTGATATACTTTTTGGTGTAGTAAATACAATTTTCACACAGTGTTGGAATGAAAGGCTGTTTGTAACTCCTCCGTTTTTTGTTTTTGTTTTTTTCATTTTGATCTGCGGTAGTACACAAAGCCAAAACAGTCTGAACAACTATGTGTTTTATTTTAAGCCCCACCAATGAATCAACTAAAGCTATAGCAGATTAAGCTACTAATTGAAGCTTTCACCTGTACTTGCCTCAGGGTAATTGTCACTTTCATAAGCAGAATGATTAGAAACAAGTTATCACCTGTGAGTCTAGCAATGTAACATATGTTATAAAATGCAAATGATCCAGATGCAACGTGCAGCCTTTGTACTGTAACACTACAGATCTTTGTTATCCCTTTCTTAGTGGGGGACATGACAAGCCAGCAGTCATAACAAAGAAGGTTGAATTACTTGTTCAGAGATGTTTCAATAAGGATGATCATCGCATTTAGAAGTACCACCATTAAAAATTACCCTAAAAGCAAGAGTGCAAGAAAAAGCAGCCCAATACCCACTGCTGTGATTTGGAGGATAACAGATTATACTCCAATTGTTTCTTAAATTTCAATTGCACTTACCTAGTAGATGTTCCTTTGTGAGAATTCACTGCATTGCAAGATCTTGAGATGCTTCCCTGGTGCCTGTTTTAAACTACTGCCATGTTGCTGAGCTGAACAAGGTTGAAGCTGAAATATTTAACTAAGTGTCTTTCAGTCTTTCTCTGTTGTGTAAATCAACTGTGTACTATATCTGTATACAATTTTGTGAGTGATGATGCACCATGCCAACATCTACAGCCTACCTGAAAGCTTTGTTATCTGGTTCCTTGCAAATTGCCCAGATATGGACTCAGTCTGGTACACATTTTGTCACAACTTCCAAATACATGTACACAGAATTCAACTGCATTGAAGGAGCCTCCCTGAAGAGTAGGAAAGCATTGTGAGTATACAGCAAGAGTGCAAGAAAAAGCAGCCCAATACCCACTGCTGTGATTTGGAGGATAACAGATTATACTCCAATTGTTTCTTAAATTTCAATTGCACTTACCTAGTAGATGTTCCTTTGTGAGAATTCACTGCATTGCAAGATCTTGAGATGCTTCCCTGGTGCCTGTTTTAAACTACTGCCATGTTGCTGAGCTGAACAAGGTTGAAGCTGAAATATTTAACTAAGTGTCTTTCAGTCTTTCTCTGTTGTGTAAATCAACTGTGTACTATACCTGTATACAATTTTGTGAGTGATGATGCATCATGCCAACATCTACAGCCTACCTGAAAGTTTTGTCATCTGTTTCCTTGCAAATTGCCCAGATATGGGCTCAGTCTGGTACACGTTTTGTCATGACTTCCAAATGCATGTACACAGAATGCAACTGCATAGAAGGAGCCTCCCTGGAGAGTAGGAAAGCATTGTGAGTATATTCGGGTGTCCCCTGGGCAAGGGCAGCAAATCCTTCACTTCCAGAAGTGTTGCACTGGAACAGCACTGAACCCACCCACTTCATGGACGCCGACCCCCTGGATGATGGCTGAAGTTGAGGAGAACTGACATCTCATGCTCTGACTGCTTCTGGTCAGAAATAGTCTGACGATTTTGACATTTTAATTGTTTTTTTTTTTTGTCTACATTCCTTTTGCAAAAAAGATGCATTTTAAACAAACAGACCAATAAATACACACAATGTTTGACAGGAGAATCCACACACGTAAAGTGACCAAGGTGAAAAGGAGGACAGGGCACCAGTGCTTTTAATTTTTATATGGAAGAGGGGACTTCAGCAGATGTAGCTTGTTAGGCAGGTCAGTCTTGCCGAAATTCCTGTTCTTGCAGAGGTGTTTAAGGTCCAGGAGTCCTGTCCTTGTTTTCACGTGGCCCACCTTTAGGGGACTCAAAATATAGGGATAATTGGAAGGCTAGGCATTGTCATCTCAGCTGTAACCTCCACAAGCACAAAATGCAGTTGGTCCTTGAAAGAAACAGGATGTGTTTCCATAAACTTTGAAAGCCGCACTGTGGACTATCGGATGGCCTGAAATGCCATTTGAATGCTGATCTGTCAGCTTCCATTATTTCATGCCTACAGACTTGTCTGAAGCACAGTACAGACAGTTCAGGGGCAAAGATTAAGTGCCTCTGTGCTCATTTTGTGCAGAATACACAAGGACTAGTAAGCAGAACATTTTCCCGCATGGTAAACGAAAAGCATCCTGCTATGCCACCTGCTGCATGTAAGCGATCTGCTCATTCTGCACATGCTCCATTTTCCTAATTTCCCGGATTAAACAAAGAGGAATGTAATCACTAAGCGGAGAGATTTTGCATTTCTATCTGGACTGCACTAACAGTACTGGAGTGGAGATGATTTACCTTTCAGCTGAATTAAGACACATTTTATTTTATTTTACTTTCCTGTTTCTTGTTTTACTTCTGCTTTCCTATCACAGCTTCAGGACAGCAAACATTTTCTAGCTGGAATGTATATTTATTTCAAATAGTTATATTCCATCTGTCTATCAAATCAAAGCTGAAATTCAGAGCGGCCAAAACATTTAAGAGTCTGGTTAAATCTAGTGACACAACTACAAAGCTTTCCCCTCTGCTTGCATTATGCTGGATCAAGACCAAGGGTGGGCAATCCCGCATGTTCTGATTTGATAGCAGCCCAGGGAGGAAGAGCTGAAGGGAAGGCCTAATATGTGTTTTTAATATTTAATTATTAATATATTTTTGGGGGGTTGCTACAATGTTGTTTCATGTTAACTGAAAAATACAGTTATTTAAAAAAATTGCTTCATTAACTGAAAAAGCCCCCTTACTGGCATTTTTTTTTTGTTAAGAACTTTTGCAGAAGTAATAGGGGCATGGGAGACCCAGGACTGATAAGTCCCCCAAAACATGGGGAAACTGTTTCATGTGCACTGGAAGAGGAGCTGGCTGGATAGCTCAGTGAGTTCAGTATCTCACTGTGGTGCCAGAGTTTGGGAGAGTGTGCTTCCCAGAAAAGCCAGCCTGTGTGACCTTGGGCAAACTGCACACTCCCAGGATGCCCCCCCCCAGCAAAAAGAGAGAATGGTAAACTACTTCTGTGTACTCACATGGGGAAACTGTTTCATGTGCACTGGAAGAGGAGCTGGCTGGATAGCTCAGTGAGTTCAGTATCTCACTGTGGTGCCAGAGTTTGGGAGAGTGTGCTTCCCAGAAAAGCCAGCCTGTGTGACCTTGGGCAAACTGCACACTCCCAGGATGCCCCCCCCCAGCAAAAAGAGAGAATGGTAAACTACTTCTGTGTACTCAGAAAATCCTAAAAAGCATTGCCACAAGCCAGAATTAACTGTAGGACACACACATACACTAGAAGAGACAAGGGTGGAGCAGGGGTGCTAGTGGGCTGCAAAAACCTTCCCTTGATCTACATCATTAGGACCATGATCACCAAACAACGCTACTGATTGCCTTTTATATTGCAGAAGTATTTTACTTAATTATTAATATATTTTTGGGGGGTTGCTACAATGTTGTTTCATGTTAACTGAAAAATACAGTTATTTAAAAAAATTGCTTCATTAACTGAAAAAGCCCCCTTACTGGCATTTTTTTTTTGTTAAGAACTTTTGCAGAAGTAATAGGGGCATGGGAGACCCAGGACTGATAAGTCCCCCAAAACATGGGGAAACTGTTTCATGTGCACTGGAAGAGGAGCTGGCTGGATAGCTCAGTGAGTTCAGTATCTCACTGTGGTGCCAGAGTTGGGGAGTTCAAATCCTCAGTGTGCCTCCCAGAAAAGCCAGCCTGTGTGACCTTGGGCTAACTGCACAGTCCCAGGATGCCCCCCCCCCAAAAAAAGAGAGAATGGTAAACTACTTCTGTGTACTCTGTATCTAGAAAATCCTAAAAAGCATTGCCATAAGCCAGAATTAACTGTTGGACACACACATACACTAGAAGAGACAAGGGTGGAGCAGGGGTGCTAGTGGGCTGCAAAAACCTTCCCTTGATCTACATCATTAGGACCATGATCACCAAACAACGCTACTGATTGCCTTTTATATTGCAGAAGTATTTTACAGTTATCCTGACAAAAGGCATTCTTCACTGAGTGCTATGCCCTGCAACAGGACTAGTGAAGGCAGAATCATCCAGATGTTGGTGGACTGTCATTCCTCTTAATCCTAGTCAGCACAGGCAGTGGTAAGGGATTATGGGAATTATAGAAGAACAATCTCGTAAAGGCCATGCCTTCCATAACCCAGCTGGGCTTCCTACTCTGCCCACAGCTGCCACCCCCATTTACTGTAGATCCCTGAGATTTACTCAGTTTTCGCAGGATTCTCTTAGAAAGCACTCATGTTCACCTGAAAATGCAAGACTTCATTATCCTTGTGCTATAATTAAGTTCACCTTTTGGGCATGCAGAGGACAGTTTCCTCCAGCTAGCTATTGACTTCTGTTAAGAAAAAGCTGAGAAGGATGAGCTTTTCAGATGAAAACTCCCCTAACTTTGGTAGCAATTCTTCATTGGCAAGCTGAACAACTGCTTAAGTTGGCTCCCTTATACAAAGGTACTATGAAGCCATTATTTGCTATAGAAACACATTTTTAGCCTCATTATATCAGCTGAAAAGAATCCATCAAACATCATCTTTTTCTATTCATCTGTCGAAATCCAGCCATCCACTTCTACTGCACTTGGAACAATTTCAAAATGTTGTAGGCTACCTGTTCTCATTATGTTCTCACAATTCAATCAATAGCCTCAGGGAAATGGATTGTATATACTCTGACAGAGTCCAGAGTGCACTATTCCAGAACACCACTTGCCCTCCTGTTGTCTCACATTAGCACTCTTGGTAGATTACCAAAAAGACAGCCTTCAGCTCCTGTCTCAGAGTTGTTCTTCAGCTATGTCCTTTTATAAAGGGGGAGGAGTGCATGTAGCCACCCTGGACGTAGCTGAAGAGCATATGTATATATTTGCAGGGCTGCCAGAAGAAAATCCTCCTTTTGAAAATGCCTTCCATGTGAAGGGCCAGCCAGTCCAAGCCAAATTTAACAAAGTGCAAAGAGGAATGTTAGGAAACTCGAAGATCAATAAAAATCTGGATAATCAGTTAAAGTCGCCTGGCCACTGTCTTCCTCAATCAACTGAGATGGGCTATGGTTTTGTTTAAATACCAAACACTTATTTCTCATTCTCTGTATATATCAATTTGCAAACATATTTTTATGCAAACCAGTGTCTTCTTTTAATCCCTTTCTTGTTGGTGGATATTATTCTTCCTGATTATGAATGACTGGCCACTAGAGATGGGTACAAATCAGAAAAATGGTGAATCATTTTGATTTGTGATTCATCAAAGTTGATAAATCATGAAATAGTAATTTAAAAAAAAATTTCTGATGAATTGATGAATCGATTTATCAAATCATTTTTTTTATTTTAAACCATATACAGTGGGAGTCCCAGGACTTAGAAACATCAAATGCACAGGGAAGCTTCCCTGACTGTCATCTACAAGCCCAGCAAGTTTGGTGACATTTGGGTTTCCAATGTCCAAGTTATACATTCACAAGGAGGGGCCCCCAGAAAGTTCTACTCGGGCACCTAGAGACACCAGAATTACAGAGAAGCTTCTACTGATTGGGTTTCAGACATCCAATGAAGTCTGCAGGAGGGTCAGCTTCATATATTTTGTTGCATGACGAAAAAAGACAAAATGTCTTTACCATTACACGTACAAAATCTGACCAGACTGGCAACCGAATTTTATTTCAATAGCAGCATTGAAGCACTGTCCTCCACCACATCTGATGGAAGCCAGCTCCCTTACAAAGTGCAGAAGATGCCTAAGACACACAGAGCAATGCATTCTCCAGCATTTATAGCCTGAATCAACCCCTTCACTCTGCCCGATGGAAGGGTTGGTTGTGGGGTCCACATAGATGTGATATTAACTAAACTGGGATTCTGAAGAAGCATCTAGACATTTGGCTGCAAGAAAGAAAGGATGCCTATATGTACCATAGGTAAAGGTAAAGGTTCCCCTTGACAATTTGTTCAGTTGTGTCTGACTCTAGGGGGCGGAGCTGAACTCCATTTCCAACCCATAGAGCTAACGTGTACCATATTAGGAAACATATTCTTCCTGTGTCACCACTGGAGTCTTGGTTTATCATCAGTATTTTCAGTCATAAAAACAAGCACTGGATTACAAAAACATGCAGCTTAAAATCCACACATTTGGGAGTGTTCTAAAAGGTAAAGGTAAAGGTTCCCCTTGACAATTTTTGTCTAGTCGTGTCCGACTCTAGGGGGCGGCGCTCATCCCGCTCTTCAAGCCATAGAGCCAGCGTTTGTCCGAAGACAATCTTTCCGTGGTCACATGGCCAGTGTGCCTTAGACACGGAACGCTGTTTACCTTCCCACCGAGATGGTACCTATTTATCTACTCGCATTTGCATGCTTTCGAACCGTTAGGTTGGCGGGAGCTGGGACAAGCAACGGGCGCTCACTCCGTCACGTGGATTCGATCTTACGACTGCTTGGTCTTCTGACCCTGCAGCACAGGCTTCTGCGGTTTAGCCCACAGCGCCACCACGTCCCCTGGGAGTGTTCACTTGCAGCCAAATCTTCCTTCAGGCAGCTTCATTCCTCTGTTCTCTCCTGTTCCCTTCTGTTCTCACACCATAATATAGTCAGCCATGTGCTTAATGTCTTTCAAGAACTTTGAGAATCATCATACATGTGGTGTTATTCCACTGATCACATCACAAGGGAAGGGAAACAGCAGAACACCTGGATTTTCCTCCTGGAAGGTGACACTGTATAAATCTACTAACAAGCCAAGGTCTTGTTCATTCTTTTATTTGTAAAACATTTGAAACAAGAAGGCAATTGCCTTGCTTTTTCCCAAAGCAAGAAATCAGATAATTCCAGATAAGCATTTGAATTAGGTTCTGCTGTTGCATGAACTATGACTTGAAAATTAATTGTGTTTCCATAATTTATTGTTTGCGAAGAATCCACAATAGTTCAGCAACAAAAGCAGGGCTCGTCCCTGCCTCCATTCCCTCCTTCTGCAAACAGTAAACATATATGTGTACTTTTGTACAGTATATTGTTGTCGTCGTTTAGTCGTTTAGTCATGTCTGACTCTTCATGACCCCATGGACCAGAGCACGCCAGGCCCTCCTATCTTCCACTGCCTCCTGTAGTTGTGTCAAATTCATGTTGGTTACTTTGCAGACACTGTCCAGCCATCTCATCCTCTGTTGTCCCCTTCTCCTCTTGCCATGACACTTTCCTAACATCAAGGTCTTTTCCAAGGAGTCCTCCCTTCTCATGAGATGGCCAAATATTGGAGCCTCAGCTTCAGGATCTGTCCTTCCAGTGAGCACTGAGGTTTAATTTCCTTTAGAATGGATAGGTTTGTCCTCCTTGCAGTCCAGGGGATTTTCAAGAGCCTCCTCCAGCACCACAATTCAAAGGTATCAATTTTTCGGCGGTCAGCTTTCTTTATGGTCCAGCTATCACTTCCATACATCACGACAGGAAAAACCATAGCCTTGACTACTCGGATTTTTGTTGGCAAGGTGATGTCTCTGCTTTTTGAGATGCTGTCAAGGTTTGCCATCACTTTCCTCCCAAGAAGCAGGCGTCTTTTAATTTCGTGGCTGCTGTCTCCATCTGCACTGATCATGGAGTGTACAGTATATACTGCTGCATTTTTAGCAGTTTAGATATCACGACAGGAAAAACCATAGCCTTGACTACTCGGATTTTTGTTGGCAAGGTGATGTCTCTGCTTTTTGAGATGCTGTCAAGGTTTGCCATCACTTTCCTCCCAAGAAGCAGGCGTCTTTTAATTTCGTGGCTGCTGTCTCCATCTGCACTGATCATGGAGTGTACAGTATATACTGCTGCATTTTTAGCAGTTTAGATATTCTGTATTAGAGATGGGGATGACTCACCATTTTGGCGAGTCATCCTGCTTTGTGAATCACGAAGTTGCTCCAAGAAGCGACGAATAACGAAGTTATTTGTCTATTCATGGGGGGTTATTTTTTTAAAAAAATACCCTGCTGCCACTGCCACTCCCACTGCCATTGTTCCCTACTGCCACCCCCACCACCCCGTTG